AAGTACTCAAATAGATGAAGACGTCAAAAGTGCGCCAGTTACTGACAAGTAAGTTAAATCATTTCAAAAGGTCTGCAATTCTGAGTTGCTTAAAATAGCACAATTTTTCTTTTGCATTCCAGGACATAATGCAAATATTGAGAGGATATTTTATTTAATGAACACCCAGTGGATAGCTGAAAGGAACAGATTTACCATTGAAGCTATAAAGCAGGGGTGTCAAACATAAGGCCCGGGGGCTGGAACCAGCCCATCTAGGGCTCTTATCCGGCCTGTAAGCACTGGCATTTATGGAAATGTAAGGTACTCCCCCTTTTATGGTATCCCTAGGGAAAAAACCTAGACTATCATATTAAATATATTTATTGGGGCTTTTGTGGGTTCCTCAGTAAAACAATTGCTTTTGTTTGTATTTTGAGTATAAATAATATTGTTAATTGGGTTTGCCTGTGTCCTTTATAAAGTTTATATCTCATGTACCTGGCATTACATTTTAGGGCACACATTGGCCCTGTCCAACAAAGTGACATTTATGTCAGATCCGGCTCTCGTAACAAATGAGTTTGACACTTCTGCACAGGGTGTTCTATTACTGCAATATAGCCTATGTGACTATTCATGCCTTCAGTTATACAAATGCCTACTTGAACAACCAACTCTACTTAGGGAGATAAAATCTTCCAATAAATATTCAGGTGCCACTTCATCAAAGGTATACAGGTATTGGTGTTGTAAGCATTGAAATGCTTAGTGATAGGAAGGGATGGGCACAAATCGGGAAAATGTGGTTTGGTCCATGGTTCATAGCTGAACCATGAACTGAACTGGAAGGCTCATTCATGATCTGAACCGGTTTATGTGTTTTGTGGCCCTGTTAGCCCCATTGAAAAGGAACAGAGTCCCGCCCTGACCTGGATAGCCCAGGCAAGCCTGATCTCATCAGATCTCAGAAGATAAGCAGGGTTGACTCTGGCAAGTTCTTGGATGGGAGACCTCCTTGAAATACCAGCAGTCAGAAGGGCCATTATTATTCAGCCACCTCTCTGAATATCCACCAGGCCCCCCAGTAGGGGTCAGTCACCAAAGGTCGCCATGACTTCCAGGTGTACACACTCTCACACATGCACATGATTTGTTAAAACACAACAGAGTATATCTTGAACGCAGCACTGGTGTGTAACATGAGCACTGGCCCCACAGGTGGACCGTCTGATGGCACATGGTATTTTTGGCCACTGTGTGACAGAGTGTTGGACTAGATGGGCCATTGGCCTGATCCAACATTGGCTTCTCTTATGTCCTTAAGGTAAACCAGCTTAATTCTAACCTCTACCTTGACCATGAGAACTGTTTACATATGGCCCCACAGCTTGGCAATGCTGACAGTTGGAGCTTTGGAACCCAAGCCTTGGTGGTGAATGTGAGTGGAAGATAGCAGCTTGCTCCTTATATCCTGCCCCTAATAATCCCAACAGGAGCCACAGTTAGGCTGAATGAAAGGCTTTCTCCACAGGCAGAGTGATGACTGTGCAAGTCTTATATACCTCTTTCTCGGAAGAGGTTTCAGGGGCTCCATCACTAGCTTCCCTGTTTCAGTATAGTGGTGTATTTGCTTGGTATGACTGGGATTACTGGAAAACAAATCTATAACTCTGAAAAAGCTCTCTGTTGTCATTTTTAGAGTTTCTTAGCGTTCTTGCTTCAATAGCTTGGAGATAAGCTGAGGTTGTTCAGTATTTTATTTATTATTTATTAATCACATTTATACCCTGCCCTCCCCGCAATGGAGGCTCATACAATACAGTTATGTTGAAGGGAAAAGCAGTCTTTCCACTCTTCCATTGTACAAATTCCAAATAAAGCATCATATCTGTGCTGGGCTTTAAAGTAGTTAACATGCAAGAGCTGTATTTAATCTTGATCCATCCCAGCTTGACTTCACATGATCACTCTTTTTGCTCAGCTACTTAACTCACAGCATGGTTCTTTGTGCTGAGGCTTGCATTCCACCTTGGTCAAGGTGATGCAGCGAGATAGACATTGAAGGGAGGGACAGGCCGCACCTACTGAATCACACTCCCTGGAAAATGGTAGCTGGGAAGAAATATGAGGCAATGCCTCTCCCACAAACAGACACCCAGAGACGATCCAGTTCAGTGATTTCACCAGAGCCTCCCTATCATCTTTAGTGTGTCATTTTGTTGTCTACAGAAATTAGGTCCATTAGTATGTCATTTGTTTTTACATAGAATTAGCCCCGGCCAGTTTACAGTTTTGATTAACTCATAGGTCCAAAAATTCCTTTTGTTTCCAAGCCCCAAAAGAAAACTGTCTTTTATTTCTGTGCCCTGGCTGCTTGCAGATAACTGGAAATCAAAACTTTCCCTAGAACTTTTGTGCTTGTGTCTGCCTTCTGACTGACCACTGGTTTCCTGAGCGTTACTCAAGCTCCCACTCTTACAAACCACCACCACCCTAGAGCACAGTGGCCTGCTTTACTCTTCTGGACTGACTGAAGCCCTTCTGCTCCTTGAAACAGCTCCACCTTTGTCCTTCTGGAATGTCTTCCCAGAACATCTGTGTAATGCCCCTCTCTTCCTTCAAATCCCTCCCCAAAACTCACTTTTACTAGGAGACTGACACAAGCCAGTTTTCTTGATACTAAGCATGTGTACATGTAATTGGAATGACCATGTATTCCTTTGTTTATCCCTGTCTCAATTCAATTTTGAGATTGTAAGACATTTCCTTGCACTCTGTAAAGTACAATCTATATTGATGGCACTAAAGAAATAAAATAATTCACCACCATTGTAAAACTGTCCTACAGAAATACTTGCTTAGAGAAAAGATATAATGTGATTTTATGATGCCCTGTGAAAAAAGAAGCTAGATCAGAAACAAAACTTCACAAATATTTGAAATGAAGCAAAATCCCTAATTTTATAGTACATATTTTTGATGGGCAATTTTATCCATCTTGCCTCTTAGCCAACACAGTCATTAATGGTTATCTGCACTGACATTTCGGTATAGTAATGAGAAATTCATAAAGCTATCTCATCTGCCAGAAGGATTTAAAAACATAAGATGTCAAAACTCCACGCCAAATAGACAGGACTCATCATGCTATTTTAATATCACATTTTATGTTTGAGAAGCTGAACGACGGGAAGATGAGAAGAAAGCGAAGCACATCTGTTGATAAGCTATTCATAGCTGACTACCTACACTATGCCTAGAAAAAAATCATTCACATTGGGTGATGGCTACTGTTCTCTCTGGCCTCACAGGCTTCTCAGTGCTCTTTGATCTCCTCTGACTTGAAATTTGTTTCATCTCTAAGCACAGAGTCCTTGAAAATAGATTCAGGTGGGTAGCTGTGTTGGTCTGAAGCAATAGGACAGCCTGGGTGCTGGTAGGAAGCCCCGCCCCCTATGTACTATGTGGCCTTAGGTAGGTTAAAACTGAATTTGGAACCCCTATGTAAACCGCTCAGAGACCCTTCGGGGTTAGGAGCGGTATATAAATCGAATGTAAATAAATAAATAAATAAATTCATCAGTGTGCATGCACATGACACTTATACCTAGAATTAAACTTTGTTGGTCTTAAAGGTGCCACTGGACTCAAAGTTTGTTCCAGAGTCCTTGGGCATTCTGTTTGCCTTCTAAGGTTGGATGCCAGTTCTAACAAGCATCATGTTCCTTCATGAGATGAACAGCCTGTGCTCTGAGGTGCAATTACCAGAGCAGGATTGGACTGGATAGTCATTTGATCACAGGACTGATGGAAGAAATTTTTGTTTTAGACTATAATATACAGGGGTCATTTCCTGCAGGAGCGCACAGGAGCGGAGCTCTGGCAGTAAAGAGCCCAGGGGGCGGGCACATGCAACAAGCCCCACCCCCTGCTCCCAGCAGCCCTCAGTCAGAGCAAGAAGCAGCCAGGTAAGTTGCAGAGCCCCCCCCCCAGTCCAAAACAGTCCAGTGGCACCTTTCCTTTAAGACCAAGTTTTATTCAGGTACAAGCTCTCCCTCCTTGGCGAGGACAGATCTGCACCCCCCCCCCATAGCTAGCAATCCAAAACAGTCGAGTGGAGCCTGAGCGGTGGGTGCTGCCTTCTGACACACTTCTGGTGATGTCGGGGGTGTCATATGCAAATAAGTTATGCTAATGAGTTGTGCTCATGAGCTCCTCTACCTCTTTTTATACCAAATGACCCCTGATAATATACATGTAGGCAAATAAGATAAGCAATGAGATTTAGCAGAAGATTTATTTTAGGTGTGAATGGGAATTAAACTGTTCTCACACAGACATGTAGTCCACTCTAGATTTCAGATTTATCACCCCAATAAACGGAGATAATTTCTTTAACCTTAATTTTATAGTACAGCAGCATTCGTTTTTAAAAATATGCACGAAGGAACTGTTTGATTTGCCAATATGCGTACATATATGGCTAAAACCTGTACAGGAGCGCCAACGTCCAGTTGGGGTCTACAGATCTCCAAAAACTACTGAGATCGGCTCCCCTGGAGAAAACAGCTGCTTTGGACAGTAGCGCACTAAGGTCACTCCCCCCTCCCCAAACCCCACCCTCTCCAGGCTCCATCCCCCAAATCTCCATGGATTTCCCAGTCCGGAGTCCGCAAACGCTAAACCTGCGTGGTTCGTCAGTGAAACGATCAAACCAGAAGCTAGAGCAGATTCTCACGGTGTGGTTTTTGTCGACCTGAAACGGACCGGGGGCGCGCTGTTTGCCCACTGTGGAAATCTACGTGAACCACATTCCATTACCCCACGATTAAACAGCGCGTCCTCAAGAAATCTCTCCAAGGCGAACAGCCGCGCTCACCGCATCTGCGCGCAACTTCCCCCAATACTCAATCATTGGCATTTTCACCATTATGACTGGCATTTCAACCAACCAATGAGAGAAGGATAATCGTAAAAGCCCCGCCCAGTCTACAAGAAAAGCAACGGAAGTGCTACGGAGTAAAGTAAGCAAAATGGCCGGCGCCGGGAAAGTGGCTGCTGCCGTCACTGGGACAGCGGTAAAGCCGATCTTCAGCCGGGACCTGGCCGAGGCTAAACGGCGCGTGCGAGAACTGTACCGTGCTTGGTTCCGAGAAATCCCAAATACAGGTAGAGGGGGCGTGAATATGTCTGCGACCTCCGTGCCAAGGTCGCTTAAAGGGGCGGTGCCAGTTTGGGATCCGCCTGCGCCTGGTAGAATTGGAAGGAAGCATCGCGGGCTTTGTGCTCCCGTTTCCCTTCAGTTAGCTGACCTTCCTCCCGAAGTTTGCCGCAGGGAGGCAGCCTTGCTTACCACGCAGAAAGGGGCAAAGACAGTAGCAGGCGTCTGGCTAAACTTTAATTTCAGCTGCTGCGCGCATGCAGGGTTTCAGCGGCGGCGGCGGCAGCATACCCGAGTAGGTGCTCCAGTTGTAGTTTGGCTCCGGCCATGCTGCCGCTATGGGGTCTTGGAAACAAGCATCCTTTCCGATTCTTGCCCGGTACACTACAGTGAGTTGTCATAGCCATCAGTACGAAGTCGAGTAGAAGCAGCGGATTGGTAGTTAACTCAGGAATACAGTAGTGTGATCCTGCGCATATGATATAAATAAAACTTTTATTTATTTACTTTATTTAACGTCCACCTTCTCACTAAGACTCAAGATGGATTACAGTTAATAAAATGGAACAGCTAATAGACAATGAAATAGGACTAGGATTACAGAAATATGAAACAAATGATATGCTAAATAATGGTGAAAATGGTATTACATTGGTAGAAAACAGTTCAGTATGAGAAAGATAATACATGGAGCAAACATATAGCCCACAGTCCTCTTCCTTTTATAAAAGCAGTGGTAGAGTATCTGCTTGGCATGCAGAAGGTCTCAGGTTCAATCCCTGGCACCTCCAGTCTGAGACCCTGGAGAGCTGCTCCCAGCCTGAGTAGACAATAGTGACCCTGATGGACCTGTGGTCTGATTCAGTATAAGGCAGCTTCGTATGTGTTCGTATAATGTAACCCTATTACCTTTATAAAAATATTGTCCTGAACCATTCTGTTTTATATAGATTGCAGAATGGGAGAAATGTGGGAACCTTCTATACCTCCTTGGGCAGGTCATTCCACAAAGTATGGGTGATATAGGCAGTTGTTGATCTTGCCCATTTGCCAGTTTTTATTTATTTTTTTATTTACAAAATGTATATTCTGCTTTTACAAGGGTTGCCAAGGATCTAACTATTTAATTTATTTAATTGATTATTTTAATTTATATACTGTCTCTCCCTCTTGAAGTAGGGCTCGGAACAGTTCACAACAGCATAAAGCAGGCATAAGACAGTATAAAAAACAAACAATTTACATCTGATAGTGGTGGATGCAGCATTAAGCCCCCCAAAATAAACTTAACAAGGGAAGGCCTGACAGAAAAGCTTTGCCTTACAGGTCCTGTGGAATGTTGGGAGTTCCCACAGGGCACGGGTCATCTGAGAAGTCTTTCCACCAGGACGGCACTATGACTGAAAAAAACACTTGCCCTGGTGAATGCCAAGTATGCGCCCCAAGGGTCTGGGACCATCAGTGGGTGGCAAGATAACAACCGCAGCTGCCAGGGGGTGTCGTAAAGGGGGAGGTGGTCCCTCAGGTATGAAGGTCCCATGCCGTTTAGAGCTTTAAAGGCCGAAACCAGCACCTTGAATTTGACCCAGAAACCAGTAGGCAACAAGTGCAGCTGCTTTAAGACACGCTGTATATGCGAAGAAAAAGATGTTCCAGTCAGAAGCCTGGACTGTTTTGGACAACCTGAAGTGTCTGAAGCACCTTCAAGGCAGCTCTGTATAGAGCAAATTGCAGTAGTCTTACTCTGGAGGTGACCATGGCATGAATCACTGTGGACAGTTCCAACCAAGACGGCTAGGGGGCCAGCTGATGGGCCTGACATAGATAGAAAAGAGCCTTTCTTGCAGCTGTGGACGCCTGCTTGTCCAAGGTAAGAGAGGCATCCGGCCAGGCCCTCAGACTCTTCATGGAGTCCACTAATGAGAGCTGGACCCCACCCAGAGCTGGAAGCTGCAATCCCCCCACAGGCCCAGTCTTACTCCGCAGGCCCAGTCTTATCCAGCCACATGACTTCAGTCTTGGATGGATTAAGTTTCAACCAGTTCTGCTTCAGCCATCCAACCACGGTGTCCAGGCACTAGGTCAGAGAAGAGAAGAACATTTTAAACATACATGATAAAATTTATTTATTATTTATTTAATTTTATTTATACCCCGCCCTCCCCGCGTGCGGGCTCAGGGCGGCTTACAACAGTATGGTACACAGTGCGATAAAAACACAATAAAACAATTAAAACAATTAGGTACAATGGGCTACGCCCAAGGATCCCACATGACTAGCATCCCCTCTCCCTATTGCACATGCCCTTAAATCCAGAAGGAGGCTGCTGTGGCCGCCCCGATGTTCATTGGCCACTCCCCGGCGGTGCTGCAATATAGGCCCTTACGATGAAATTATGCTATAAAACCATTAAATCAACTCCCCAAAAACACACTTTAAAACAATTTTTGTAAGTGTCAAAATGCATACAAGAAATTAAAAACAGCAATTAAAAAATTGGTTAGGAAGGAGGGATACTTGAGGGAATGCCAAAGAAAACAAAGTCTTCACCCTCTGGTGGAAGACGGCAACAAAAGGGGACCGACTACTCTCCCTGGAGAAAGGCTTCCAAAGCTTTGGTGCCATGACCAAGAAGGCCCTTTCTTGGGTTGCCATCCCATCTAGTGTCAGATGTCGGGGGCACCTGAAGCAGGGCCTCTGAAGGTGACTGGAGTGGTTGGGTAGGTTCATACGGAAGTTGGTGGTCCTTCAGATACGCAGGTCCCAAGCTATATAGGACTTTAAAGGTCAGTAGCAGCACCTTGAATTGGGTCTGGAAGCAAACTGGGATCTAGTACAGATGGAGCAAGACCGGAGTGATGTGGTCCTTACAACTCACTCAGGTCAACATCCTGGCTGCAGCATTCTATACCAGTTGAGGTTTCCAAACAAAGGCAACCCCATACAGAGCACATTGCAGTTGTAATCAGGGCACGCACCACAGGTGTAATCAGGGCACGCACCACAGTGGCCAGATCTTTTCTGCCCAGGAAAGGCCACAGCCAGTAGAAGGTGGTCAAAGGCACTCCTGGTTACAGCTGCCACCTGCTTATCCAGCTGTAGGCTTGGGTCCAAGAACACCCCCAACTATGGGCCTGTTTCTTCAAGGGGAGTGCAGCCCCATCCAGAATAAGTGATACCTTTAATCCCAGGGTCAGACCACCACTTGTTGGGATTGAGCTTCAGTTTATTAGTCACATCTCCTCCAAAACTGCTTCCAGGTTTTCTGCAGCCTCACTGGGTTAAGCTTGAAGTGGAAGATAGAACTGAGCGTCGTCTGCATATTGGTGACAACACAGCCCAAATTTTCAGATGACTTCACCCAGCAGTCTCATGTAGATGTTAAAGAGTATAAGGGACAAGATGGAACCTTGCAGGACCCGAAAGGCCAAGAGGCTGAACAGCAGTCCCCCAGCACCACTTTCTGAAACCTACCTTCCAGGTAGGACAGGGACCACTGTAGAATGGACACTCCCAGTCCAGATAGGCAGTCCAGAAGGATACCATGCTTGAAGGTATCAAAAGCTGCTGAGAGGTCCAGAGAACCAACAGAGTTGTACTTCCTCTGTCCATCTCCCAGTGCGAGTCATCCACCAGAGCAACCAAGGCTGTTTCAATCTGGTAACCAGGTGTTAAACCAAGACTGGAAGGAGGGGGTCTAAACCATTTCATTCATCCAGGAAAGCCTGGAGTTTTTCAGCTACCAGCCGTACAATTACCTTGCTCAAGAATGGATTATTTGATACTGATCAATAATTATTGCGATTTCCTGGGTCAAGGCTTTTTTTTAGAAATGGGTGCATTCCCTCTCTTAAGGAAGCATTAACCACCTCTTGAACCCAGTCAACTAGCCCCCCCCCCAAAGATTTAAGTAATCAGGAAGGGCAAGGGTCATACAAGCAGGTGGTAGGCTTCAAACTTCCAAATTCCTTATCTGCACCCTCAGACTGAATAAACTGTAAAGTATCCCACATAATTGGACAAGTCAGCACCCTGGCACCATCTGATCCTGTCACTGCTAACGTAGAGTTCAAGTCAGAAGAGATGCGAGAGATTTTATCTGCAGGGTTCTGGGTGGTCAGAGGCCTGTTGGGATCTGGCCTGCAGGAAGAGGTGGTCTGCTTGGTGGCTCTTCCAACAGGCCAGATCCCAACAGGCCTCTGGCCACCCAGAACAGCTCTGCTGGCCTATGCTGTGCACACACAATGGTGATGTTTCTTTGCCACCATCACTGCCATGGTGCTTTAAAATGAGCTTTGCCTGGTCCTGTTGGATTTGGCCTGAGTCTTTCTCCACTGGCACTCACTCTAGCCATCTCCATCTTTTCATTGCCTGTAGCCCCTCAGTAGATCAAGGGGCTACCTGGGCTCTGACAGCTAAGAGTGGGTGCCTGGGAGTGATGCTGTCAGATGCTTGGGTCATTTCCTCATTCCAGAGGTCAGCCGAGGCATTGACAAGAATAACAGCCATATCAACAGAAAAATCCCTTAGAGCAGAGGTGTTGAACTAATTTGTTACTGACATAAATGTGATTTTGTCAGGGTGGGCCATGTGTGCCATAAAACGTAATGCCAGGTACCAGAGATATAAACTTTAAAAAGGACAGCAGCTGGTAAGCTCTGAGTTGTTGTGTCTTCACTGCAGGAGGGGGAGCGAACCCCTTCCCCAACTCACTCCCGCTGCCAATGCTGTAAGCCCAGACGCCAGGGTAAAAACGCAAAGCAGCTGGGTGTTGTGAGCTCCCCCCTGCCCCTAAGCTATCATAGAAGGGGGACTGGGAAGACAAGCTGAACTAATCCTCCCTGCTGTGAAAGAAAGGCGGCAGTGGCCCAGGTCCAAGGCCACATACATGGTGGGACCCAGGCCAAGTAAAGTCCAATAATCCGGAGTCACATTCCAATGTGAGGAAGAAACAGCTGAAATCACCTCCCCCCACGGGCCAAAGCACAGCCGCTGCATGGGGGGGGGTTGAATACAGCAGACGAGGATTTTCCACCATGCCGAAGCCACAATCGGAGTGGCTCCCACCCACTCCCCTCTGAGCAGCCTCCTGTTCCCTCCCTCATACCAATTCTTGCGGGCCAGATAAGAGCCTTGGACGGGCCAGTTCTGGCCCCCAGGCCTTATGTTTGACACCCCTGCTTTAGAGCCATCAGAAAGTCATTCAAATCCATCTGGCTGTGGGGGCGAATCATCTTAATAGATCCCCCATCCCTGCAGAATCTTGGTATTCTTGTAAGCCTAACCTAAGCAGGTAGTGATCTGTTCATTGCAAAGGAACCATCATCAGTTCCTCCACCGTCAGATCACATTCCTCCTGCTCAGAATACCAAATCAAGAGTTGGACTTGCACAATGTGTAGGAACAGTTATTACCAGAGACATGAAATCCAGAGCCACTCCTGACAAGACAGCCTCAGCTTGAATGTTGAAGTCCCCCAGGACAACCAGCCTAGGAGTCTTGAACATCACCTCAAAGACTAGCTCAGGCAGGGGGGTGGGCAATTGTAGCCTTTGTGTGTGTGCCCTCGTGTCCATTTTCTCACCCAAGGGGTTGTTGTTGTTCTTGATCTAGTGCACATATACCAGCTGGACTTCACAGTGAAACAGGGGCGTGATAAGGTCCGGGAGTTGTTTATGAAGAACGCCCATGTCACAGATCCCCGAGTCATTGATATGCTAGTTATTAAGGTAAAACAAACAACACTTGTCTTAAATCCACAGCAGGCATAGGGTGACTTCGAGATGCTCTCCTTGTAAATCATCCTATGCTGATGGATGTTCTTTTCCTTTCTTATATTTTTGCATGTATACTGCTTTTATCTGTTCAGTAGACTATCAAATTCAGAGCTGTCTAGATTCAAAGTGTTCTAGATGTGCCCAAGCATTTTGAATTCCAGATTCATTTGTCAATGGCATGTGTGGTACAAGTATCAGTATTGCTAGATAATGTGGTGTTCTAGACTACAGAAAGTATCAAAAGAAAGGAAGGGGCAAAAAGTAAAAAATAAAAAAATCCATGGCTTGTGCGTTTTCAAATCCATGGACTGAATGCCAGCACCCCTCCCCAGGTCCCCCCTTTCCATCCAATTTCAATCTTTTCCATTTTGATCTTTGCTGCCTTTAGTCCCCTCTCTAAAAATTTTTTTCTCATCTCCTTTGCTTTCCCTCTAAATCTGCCTGTTTTCCTTTTTCCCTCACCTGCTTTGCCTTTCCTCTAATTCTGCCTCTTTCCCCCATAATCAGTTCACTGTCTCTCTCCCTATAATTCCTCTCCTTGACTCTGCAGTTCATTAACCGCAGCATGCTCTGTTCTTCACATACTTTATTTCCTGGCTCCCCATAGCAACCCTTCCTTCTCCATTCTGTACTAGTTCCCCTTCAATTTCTTCTTCATCCTCCTCCCTTCCCATCACCCCTCAACTACCTGTATGGAAATCCCCTTTATTGCTGCATCCCTTTGTGTAGCCCTTTCCTCCAAAGCCCCATTACCTCTCCTCCTTTTTCCTTCCATCTCCTTCAGGTTCAAGTTAACTCCCTCTCACACACACACATACCTCATTCCTTTAGCTTTTCACCCTTACGTTTCCTATTCCAGCCCAGTTATGCCACAGGTAGGAGGAAGAAATGGCAACACCACGGCTGTCCTTGCCACCATGCCTTGCTGATACAGTCACTGGGTTCTTTGAACTCTTGGGAGCCAGTATCAGCTCACTTTTGATCTAATAGCCTACTTAGCTGGCCAGTAGTCCTTGTGCACATGGTCAAGTGACATTGTTTTATGCATTCCTGGGGGGGTTCTCTGGATTATTCCATGACCTCCTGACTTGCCCTGTTCTACTATATTTAACTGCTTAGAGCCAGGACTCTGCAATTAGATACAGCAATGGATATCGTTGAGGATGGATTCTGAAAGCAGATTTGGCTAGAAGAGGACAGTGCTTTGAGAAATGATGCAGAAATAATTTGCAAAAAAAATAGGGCATGCTTCACAACTGTCTAAGTAGTAAATGTTCTATATTTATAAAACTGAAGTGACAGAACATTTGGAAACAGTTGCCCAATTTGTGGATTTCTTTCTTTCATCTTCAGAAGCATCATGAGCTAGTGGAGGTGAGAACATACATGGCATAGGGAGATCTTGCCTACAAGTTATGAACTTTTGAGTGACCGCATCTGACAAACTAGTGTTTCACAGTGGACCCCAACTTGTCATGTCTGTTGATTGATTGCACAGAAGATACTATGATTGCTATCACTGAATAAAATAGCCATGAATTTCTTACCCTGTGTTACAGTAATGGATTGGAGCCATTTCCTAAGCATTTAAAATTCTTTCCTATCTGATATAGGGGAAAATGGAACTTCAGGAGACTATTAATGTATGGAAACAGCGGACCCATATCATGAGGTACTTCCATGAGACAGAAACTCCACAGCCCAAGGATTTCCTCTCCAAGTTTTATGCAGGTCATGATCCTTGAACCAAATAAACTTTGTAGAGCTATAACTCTGTGTTTCAGTTGCTTTTGTTGCAAATAAAGCACTGAATACTGAAGAGCCCTCCAGCAGGGAAGTATCCAACTGAACACTGTTCTGTAGCCAATACTCATCCATGATTCATCTGTATGGTCTACGTCAGGCTGGATGTATTTGTTGCAATTAGTGTCTCAAGAAACTTCCTATTTGCATTGCAGTATGCCTCAGTGAATACAATGGTACTTACAGACAAGTAAGCATATGTAGAATTGTGTTGTAAATAGATGTTGAGGTTAGAAGTCTATGGGAGAGATTTTAACCAAAGACAATGTGATTCCTGCAAATAAGGTGATTGAAAATCACTCACTTTATCCAGAATGCCCATTTGCTGTGGAACTGCACACTTCATATGATCACATTGGCAATTCATTCAGTTTAAAACAAACAGTATTTTAAGTTGTTTTATGTCTGCATAGTAGCAGCTTTCAGCATGAAGTTGGCAAGATAGTTGCCATTGGTCCACTACTGGATTGCAGAGCTTACATATGCTCCAAGGTCATGATCAACAAGCCATAAAAATAGCTGCATTCTAAATGTATATGCTTCTTTTGCCTCTGTGCAGTTTGCAGCATAGTGTTGCAGATGGTTGTGCAAGAACAAAGTATTTGTATTCCAATATAAAACTTGTGATTAACACACATGCACTCAGCTTTGGTAGTCAAGCAGGCAAAATGGACAAGGCTAGAATAATAGAGACATAAACCTAGCAGCTTCTTTTCAATCAAAGTAAGCACTGCTTTTTTGTAAGTCTTCCCCCCCCCCCCCAGGTGTGTTGGGAAGAACATCAGGGACAGCCCTAGGAAAGCAGTGCAAAAGTACAAAGATTCAGGTGGGTAGCTGTGTCGGTCTGAAGCAGCAGAACAAAGTTTGAGTCCAGTGGCACCTTTAAGAATAAAACTTTGTTGGTCTTTAAAGGTGCCACTGGACTCAAACTTTGTAGTGCAAAAGTACTGTCACTGATACTTTGCACATATTGTGTAGAATAATCTTGAATGTCTGGGGGTGGGGCATTGACTGTTCAAATATGCTTCTTGAAATTTGCAATTAAATTTAATCCAAACAGTTCACTTAGTAATTAATTTTAACAAAATGCTATGGATTGTCAAATTTTAATAATATAAAGGATTTTTTAAAAAAAGAACGACTTCTACATGTGGCAGAAAAACTTGCCAAAACTTGAAAAAGTATGGACCCAGAGGAATCCTGTGTAATCCTGCTGTATCAATGGGGTAGGAA